TGCAGCGGTGGAAACGCAAAGCACCAGCTCAGAGGAGATGGTGCCCAGCTCACCCTCGCCCCCTCCGCCCCCTCGGGTCTACAAGCCCTGCTTTGTGTGCAGCGACAAGTCCTCTGGCTACCACTACGGGGTCAGCTCTTGTGAGGGCTGCAAGGTACGTGCACTTGGTGGGGATGGGTGGGCTTTGAAGGGTGGGGGGGGTGGTCCAGAGCTACCACCTGGGGGGTGGGGGGATCAGAGACCAGGGACACAGATGCTGTGTGTGAATGGTTGCCAGGGCGGCGCTCTTGCACATGGGTGCTTGATAGGTGGTGTGGGGCCTGGGGCTTGCTGCCAGGGTGACACTCCCCACTTCCCCCAACTCCAGGGCTTCTTCCGCCGTAGCATCCAGAAAAACATGGTGTACACGTGTCACCGTGACAAGAACTGCATCATCAACAAGGTGACCCGGAACCGCTGCCAGTACTGCCGGCTGCAGAAGTGCTTCGAAGTGGGCATGTCCAAGGAAGGTGGGCGCAGCTCCCTGGCCTGCTCCTGCGCTGTGGTGACCACCCTCTCGCGCTGGTCTATTTCATTTAGTTGCATTTACCCAGGAGACACCGCCTGGCCCTTTCTCCCTTTCCTGTGAATGGGGATTAAGGTTCCCCATTCCCCCTGTTCCTTGTGTGGGGAAGGGGGCTTTCCTCTCCCTTCTCCTGCTCCCAGGACTGAGCCTAAGGATGGATCTAGGGTGGCCCCTCCTCTCCATCCCCCCACCCCCATTGTGCTGCCAAGGCTATAAGTGGATATCCTGCCGCCTGCATATCCTGCCCCCCCCTTTCCCAGCTCACACAGGGTGACAGGAAGGGCAGGATGGAGCCGAAATGCCTAGGGAGAGAGCAGGGGCTGTGGGCCCTGGGTGGGGCTGGGGACAGGCAGCCCGGGAGTAGGAGCTAAAGGAAGAGAGAGAGGGAAACTGAGGTACTCACGGGGGCCAGGGAATCGGATACTCACATGAGAGTGACAGGGAACAGCATCCCGAGGCAGGCACCAAGGGTCCTCACCCTTTCCTCTTCCTCCACCCCCAAGCTGTGCGCAATGACCGGAACAAGAAAAAGAAAGAGGTGAAGGAAGAAGGCTCACCCGACAGCTATGAGCTGAGCCCCCAGTTAGAGGAACTCATCAGCAAGGTCAGCAAAGCCCACCAGGAGACCTTCCCCTCGCTCTGCCAGCTGGGCAAGTACACCACGGTGAGGATGGGCACGCGCCTGGGGCCGGCCGCCGGATAAGGCCGCTGCTGTCAGAGACCCCACAGCCCCCAGGGGCGGGCCTTAGCTTGCATCCTAACCTCCCCCCGCCCCCCCGCCCCCCAGAACTCCAGCGCAGACCACCGGGTGCAGCTGGACCTGGGGCTGTGGGACAAGTTCAGTGAGTTGGCCACCAAGTGCATCATCAAGATCGTGGAGTTTGCCAAGCGGCTGCCCGGCTTCACTGGGCTCAGCATCGCCGACCAGATCACTCTGCTCAAGGCCGCCTGCCTGGACATCCTGGTAGGTCAGGCCCTGGGGGTCCTGTCCCCGCCTCGCTCTCCTAGGAGGCCTTCAGCAATTTTTGGTCCATGAAACGCACCCAGATGCACAACGCAGGCTTCGGGCCCCTCACAGACCTCGTGTTTGCCTTTGCCGGGCAGCTCCTGCCGCTGGAGATGGACGACACGGAGACGGGGCTGCTCAGTGCCATCTGCCTCATCTGTGGAGGTGCGAGGGCGCCCCCTGGCGTCCACTCGGGCTGCTTTTTCTTTCCACTCCGCACGCCGGCATCCTCAGACCTGCGCTGCATGGGCTTCCTAGCGGGTTTAGAACCTAGGACAAAAACAGAGGAGCAGAGCCTGGGGAAGCTGAGAAGACCCTAGATAGATGCTGGTGCTGGGGTGGGTATCTGACTGCAGTGATTTTCCGCTTGCTGGTGGGGACTTACAGGGCTTAGAGCAGGGCAGATGGGTTCAGAGACAACAGGGCAGGATGAGCTGGGGGTCGGGCGGCTGTCACTGTGTCTTCCTTGCCTCTCGCCTCCTCCCCTCTTCACTCCCCGGTGCCTGTCCCCACAGATCGCATGGACCTGGAGGAGCCTGAAAAAGTGGACAAGCTGCAGGAGCCGCTGCTGGAGGCCCTGAGGCTGTACGCCCGGCGCCGGCGGCCCAGCCAGCCCTACATGTTCCCGAGGATGCTCATGAAAATCACCGACCTGCGGGGCATCAGCACCAAGGGTTAGTCACGAGGGAGCTTCCTCCTCCGTCTTCCCAGAGCCGCTGGCCTCCCAGGTCAGACCTGCAGGCAGGCAGCAGCAAGAACCTGGTGACTAAGAACCTGTGCTGGGATCCTGTCTCTGCTACATAAAACCAAGGAGACGTGGAGGGGGGGCCGATTCCTTGGCTTTTTCTGTCTGGTGGTTCTGTTTGTGAACTAGGCTGCGCTCACCCTATCTCACAGAGTTACTGTGAGGCTGAATCCACAGGGTGCGTACAACTGTGCTGAGTTTAGAGGCCGGCGCCGTGGCTCACTTGGTTAATCCTCCGTCTGAGGCGCCGGCATCCCATATGGGTGCCGGGTTCTAGTCCCGGTTGCTCCTCTTCCAGTCCAGCTCTCTGCTGTGACCCGGGAAGGCAGTGGAGGCAAGTGCTTGGGCCCCTGCACCCACATGGGAGACCAGGAAGAAGCACCTGGCTCCTGGCTTTGGATTGGTGTAGCTCCAGCCGTAACGGCCATTTGGGGAATGAACCAACGGAAGGAAGACCTTTCTCTGTCTCTTTCCCTCACTGTCTAACTCTGCCTGTCAAATTAAAAAAAAAAAAAAAACAAAAAACTGTGCTGAGTTTAACACCCAGTTCTGCAACTGGTAGCCACATTTTAAAAAACTATTTACTTACTTATCTGTTTGAAAGGCAGAGTTAGAGCTTCCATCCACTGCTTCACACCCCAAATGCCCACAGTAGCCAGGGCTGGGGGCCAGGAGCTGGGAACTCCTTTTTTTTTTTTTAACATTTATTTATTTATTTGAAATTCAGAGTTACAGAGAGAGAGAGAGGCAGAGGCAGAGAGAGAGAGGTCTTCCATCCTATGGTTCACTCCCCAAATGGCCACAACGGCTGGAGCTGTGCTGATCCGAAGCCAAGAGCTTTCTCCCGGTCTCCTACGTGGGTGCAGGGGCCCAAGGACTTAGGCCATCTTCTACTGCTTTCCCAGGTCATAGCAGAGAGCTGGATCAGAAATGGAGCAGCCGGGACTCTAACTGTTGCCCATATAGGATGCCAGCGCCTCAGGCCAGGTGTTAACCTGCTGCGCCACAGCGCCAACCCCCCCCCCCTTTTTTTTAAGATTTATTTGAGGCCGGCGCTGCGGCTCAATAGGCTAATCCTCTGCCTGCGGCACCAGCACACCGGGTTCTAGTCCCGGTTGGGGCGCCAGATTCTGTCCCGGTTGCCCCTCTTCCAGGCCAGCTCTCTGCTATGGCCTGGGAGTGCAGTGGAGGATGACCCAAGTCCTTGGGCTCTGCACCCGCAGGGGAGACCAGGAGAAGCACCTGGCTCCTGCCTTCGGATCAGCGCGGTGTGCCAGCCGCAGCAGCCATTGGAGGGTGAACCAATGGTAAAAGGAAGACCTTTCTCTCTGTCTCTTTCTCACTGTCCACTCTGCCTGTCAAAAAAAAAAAAAAAAAAAAAAAAGATTTATTTGAAAGATAGAATTACAGAGAAAGAGAGGCAGAGAGAGAGAGAGAGAGAGAGAGAGAGAGGTCTTCCATCCGCTGCTTCACTTCCCAAATGGCCACAATGGCTGGGGCTGAGCTGAGCCGAAGCCAGGAGCCAGGAGCTTCTTCAGGTCTCCCACGTGGGTTCAGGGGTCCAAGGACTTGGGCCATCTTCTACTGCTTTCCCAGGCCATAGCAGAGAGCTGGATGGGAAGTGGAGCAGCCGGTGCCCATGTAGGATGCCGGCACTGCAGACTGGGGCTTTAACCTACTGTGCCACAGTGCTGGCCCCAGGCACTGTGCGGGATAGAGCAGATGTCGCCACGTGTGCTGATCTAGAAGTCAGCCCCAGAACACAGGAAGTCTATCAGCTGCTGTTGGGAATGTTACTAAGAACAGGCCCAGAAGCGCTTGGCAGGCTGTGCACCCGAGAGTGGGGTGCCTGGGGAGCGGGAGGAAGGCACACACGGTAGCATCTTTGAGAGACCAGCCTGGGTCCACGGGATCAATGGACAGCAGGCTGGGCAGCAGGCCACGTGGGGGTTCCTGGCAGAGTAGTGGCATCCAAGAGCCCTCAAGCTGGGTCAGAGAGGTAGCCGGGCGGGAGCCGCACGGGGGATTCAGACAGTGGTTCAGAAAGGCTGGGGAGTTCGCTTCAGGGGCCAGAGGGCTTTGTCCCCCGAGCTGCTGCTGCTGCTGCTGCTGCTGCTTTTTTTTTTTTTTCTTAAGATTTATTTATTTAGTTGAAAGGCAGAGTTACAGAGAGAGAGAGAGGGAAGGAGAGAGAGAGAAAGAAGAGAGGTCTTCCATCTGCTGGTTCACTCCCCAGATGGCCACAATGGCTGGAGCTGGTCCGATCCAAAGCCAGGAGCCAGGAGCTTCTTCTGGGTCTCCCACATGGGTGCAGGGGCCCAAGGACTTGGGCCATCTTCTACTGCTTTCCCAGGCCATAGCAGAGAGCTGGATCGGAAGTGGAGCAGCCAGGACTCGAACCGGCGCCCATGTGGGATGCCGGCACTGCAGGTGGAGGCTTGGCTTTCTATGCCACAGCACCGGGCCCACCCCTGAGCCTCTTTGTCTCTCCATTGTAGGAGCAGAAAGGGCCATTACCCTGAAGATGGAGATTCCAGGCCCGATGCCCCCCCTGATCCGAGAGATGCTGGAGAACCCCGAAATGTTTGAGGACGACTCCTCGCAGCCTGACTCCCACCCGAAGGCCTCGAGCGAGGATGAGGCTCCTGGGGGCCAGGGCAAGCGGGGTCGAAGTCCCCAGCCGGACCAGGGCCCCTGACCTCCCCAACCGTGGGGTTGGGCTCCAGGCAGCGGCCTGACCATCTCCCAGGCACCACCAGTGACCGGGGGAGGACCTGCTCTGCCCTTTTCCACCCCTTCCAAAGAGCTCCTTGTTTTTGCCAAAGTTTCCAGGGGTGCCTCTGTTCACCCCTTCCTGCTCGAAGCGGCTCCGTCTCCAGCCCTGGGGGGCCTGCCCTGCTCCCACCAGGAGAGAGGCCGGAGGGGTGAGCCTGGGTATGGACTCTAACGGTCTCAGCACTGCCCCTCTGATACCAGGGTCCCAGGCTATCCAGGCAGGAGGAGGATTCTCTCCTTCCACAACCCTTCTACTGCCAGGTGCTCGGGCCTCTGGGAGCAAACAGGAACACTAGAGACCAAAAGCGAAAGGGCTGAACCCGCCCTCTTGCTCCTACCCTTGGTGCCTCATGCTGGCTGACGCACCTGCCGGGTGCACGCCGCCCTCTGTGCCCAGGTCCAGGTGTGTGGAGGGGCAGGCTGGCCCTGCATTTCGGGGGCTGGGCCAGCAGGTGAAAGGGACAGATTCCGGTGCCTTCTGCACCTCTGCTGGGTGCAGCGTTGACCGGGTACCCTCCGTTACAAGCCCCTCTCGTGGCCCTGTCATGTGCCTTGGGCTCCTCCTGCCTGCCATCTCAGCTCTCAGGCAGGGACCCTCCTACACTACACAGGGGCCAGGGGATCCCTCTCCCCAGTGCCTTTTACCCTTGATCCCCAGGGCAGCTTGGCCCAGGGAGGGGGGATGCTGCTTAGCTGACCCCGCCCTGTCCCAGAGGAAGCCTCTATTTATTTATTAGCTTTTGTTTACACCCTGGAATCGACCCCTTCCTCCAGGGGTCTTGGGAGGGGGAGCCCAGGGCCTCTGAGATCCCTCCCTTCTTCCTCCAAGCCCCAGTTTGTATTTAGCTGCCAAGTAAGATTCCCACGGGCTCCCCCTTTTTCTCTGGGGGGTCAGGGTGCTGTCCCCTCCCTTCTGTTTACATCTCCCCTCCACCCTGCTCTACTGCATATCGCTGAGTTTTCTATTTTTGCAAAATAAAGTGATGGAAACTCAAGGATGTGGCTAACCTCGGAGGCAGGCGGAAGGCTGGAGCGACCTGGGGAGGCTGAGCTGCTCAGATGTTGGGCCCAGCAGAGAAAAGAGGATGAGACTGGGGGGCTGGGGGTAGGGTGGGGTGGGAGGACCTCCTGCGGCCACCAGGTGTGGGCTCTTCAGCTGCATCCTGGGGACCCCTGTCGAGGGCATGAATGGGCTTCCAGTCTGCCCACCTCCTGGATTTGTAAATGTGCATGTTGGCCCTTTAAGTTTCCTTTGGCTCTCTTGGGGGTCCCTGGCCCCTGAAGACCAGCCCAGCTTGCATCTGAGCTGCAGTGTTTCTGAGTTATTCCAACCTCCCTGACCCGCAGTGGCCCTTCTGCAAGGTGTTGGGCACCTGCCCCTTGTGCTTTGGGGTCCCCTCGGGGCCTGTGACTCCCTCGCAGCCCAACCTGCTGTCCCTGGCCTTCCTCACCTGTGCCTGTAAGGAAAGAGGTTGAGGATGTGGGATGTGGGAGGAGAGAAGAGGAGAAGCGGAAGAAGAAAGTGAAAGAAGACCTGGGGGAAACCACAGAGCCCCTGGGAGGGGAGGAGGTCACTGTCACGGCAACTGCAGGGTGGGGGAGGGGCCTCTCTGTCCCATGGCCAGGGGCCAGCTGAAGCCCCCTCACCCCACCCCGCCAGGGAGGGAGCTCCACCTGATGTTTGTGGAGCACCTGCTATGAAACACACACCTCGCTGGAATGGGGGCATCTTGGTAAGGAGAAAATGCAAACACAGACTGTCCCCATCCAGACCCCTCTCAAAACCGCTCGTGGTCAGTGTGGGCTGTCTGCAGGCCTCACCGTGCTTGGGCTCCTCCCCCTGTCCCCAGCCCCCGAGCCTGGCCCTGTGCCTCTCCAAGCCGTTAGCTGTCTGACCTGTGAGCTTCCCAAGGCCTCTCCAGTACTTATCCCTACTGATGTCTTGTTTCGAACTCATTTATTGGCAGGGTATGTATATAGGGATAGTGCTGCTATCTGCCTGCCCGATCTCCAAACATTCGAGGGCTGGGACTGGGCCAGGCCCAAGCCAAGAACCAGGAATTCAGGTCTCCCGTGTGGGTGGCAGAGACTTGGAGCCATCCCCGCTGCCCCCCGGGGTCTGCATTGGCAGGAGCCACCGTCAGGAATCCGGTATTGAACCCATATACTGATATGAGATGAGGGCATCTTACATCTTAAGCACTGGGCTGAACGCCCGTCCCCCACCCCCAGCCCAAGTCCTCAGTGTGTGAATGCCAGGTTCCCTTGTAAGTGATTGCCGTGAATTATCTCACTTAACTGTCTCGGCAGCCCTATGGGTCCTACCTGGCTGGTGTGAGAGCAGCCCAGGAAGGTTAAGGACCTAAGCTCACCTCCTTGTTACTTTGTTACTTCCTAGTAAGTAGAGCCAGCAAGTTGTTGTTGTTGTTGTTGTTGTTTTTAATATTTATTTATTTGAAAGCCAGAGGGAGAGCACGTCCAGCAGCTGATTCACTCCCCAGATGGCCCGGGGACAGGAACTGCATGAGGGTGGGCAGGGACCCAAACAGTTGGGCCACAGGTGTATTGGCAGGGAGCTGGATCGGAAGCGGAGCAGTGGGGACTTGAAGCGGCCCCCCCCCACTGCACCACAACGTCAGCCCCTGGAGTCAGGACTGAAACGCTGGTTGGCTCCAGGGTCCGTGGAGCTAAGCGCACTGTGATATAGTGGGCCCTGGGACTTCACAACAAACAATAGGCTCCTGCTTCCCCTCTGGGAGGTACCTAACTGCTTCCCCACTCCTCCTGTTCCTGTGTGAGCAAGTGTGGAGGGCAGCTTTGGAGGCAGGGGCTGACCACCACTTGCCTGCCAGCGGTGTGATCTTGGGTAGAGGTCTTCACTGCTTGCCTCTAAGCCTCCCTCTCTTGCATCAGAGTGCTGTCACCTCTCTCATGAGGTGGCCGGAAGGATTGGTTGCAACCTGAGCTGTGGGCACACGACAGGTGCTCAGCAGATGAGCTTCCGACTGGGCCCCTTTGTCATCCACGCTCCAGCCCTCCCCCCATCTTCTCCACTTTGCAGATCTGTCACCCCCACCACCCCCAAGTTTCCCCCACCCCAGGGCGTGTCACTTCCTCCTCTGAAGCCTCCCTGCTCAGTACACAAAGGCTGTCACTGCGGCCAGAGGAAGCCCTGCTCTTGAACGCACTCCACCCCGTGAAGCAAGCACCTGTGAGTACCAGGGCACCCACCCGCCTGCCTCCTCTAAGGAGCCCAGGCCTGCCTGGGGGGAAGGCTTGGGCCTGGGTGCTCAGGATCCTGTCTAGACTTGAAACTGGCTCACGCCTCCTTTCTGCACTGCTAATGTTCCCTGTCCCTGTTCCCTGTCGTTTCGCAACCCTCCCGGCCAGTCTATCTTGCTTCAGTTTCCCTGGGCAGGGAGGGGGTACTGGGGGGAGGGAAAGGAGGCGGTGATGTATGAGGCTTGCCCTTGACTGTGCCATGTGCCAAAGGTTCTGCCAGGTTAGGCCTTCCCAGCCTCAGCCTTTGCTGCCGCCTGGCTGCCTCATGCCATGTCCATGTCCTCCCGATCAGTCCGATGGGGGGCGGGGCATGGAGTCCTTACTCCCAGGAGACAGTGGCCCAGGGTCTCAGCTCCATGCTGAGACCTGGAGTGGGCAGCAGAGCCTCCTGGTTTCTCAGCTGCTAGGCACAAATACGGTGCGTCTTGGGGTGGAATTGAATCCGCGAGAATGGGCCAACCGTTTGGTCCCAGGGATCAAGATTCCTAAGAAGAGAGAGAGATGAGATTTGGTAGAGCCCATTGGGGTCGCTGGGGAGGAGACAAAAAAATTTTTTTAATTATTTATTTGAGAGAGAGAGAGCGAGCTCCCATCTGCAGCTTCACTCCCCAAATGTCTGCAATGGCCAAGGCTGGTCTGGAGTGTAACTGAGGGCTGGGAGCTCCTTCTAGGTCTCCGCTGTGGGTGCCAGGAATCCAGTCACTCGAGTCATCACTGCTGCCTCCCAGAGGCTGCACTGGCAGGAAGCTGGAGTCCCCCATTTGGGACACAACATTTTCACTGGTGTCTTAGCCACCAGGCTAACAGCCCAGCCAGGAGGAGACACAACTTCTGTTGTCGACGGAGTCTGGAATGGAGCAGAGGAAAGCATCCATGAACCCGGAGGCCTCAGCCGTCTCCAACCCTTCTCTTGCCTCCAGTTCACTGTGTGTGACCTTGGGTTTACCGCTCTGGGATTTAGGGGTTCCATTTGTAAAAAGAGGGTCGGGGTAGATGACGCTGCCATTCTATAGTTAGGGTTCGGGGGAAAAGGGAAGTAAAACAAAGAACTGAACAAGTGGAGAGGAGAAAAAGAGCAGAGAGATACAAGGGAAGGGATGAGGGGGCTGAGAAGAAGCAGGTGGCGCGGGTGTGTCCCCAGGGCAGGGTGGGGGCAAGTTGGGAGGAGGGTGGGAAGGGGCTGACCAGGAAGTCCCAGGGCCCCCTTTACGGGATATATATGGGGCAGCAGGGAACCCACCGCAAGAGGTGAGTCAGAACCAGACTCTGAGCAGCAGCAACCGTATCTTCAGTCTCCCTGGCCACAAGCACGCAGAGCAGGGCTGTGGTTACGCTAAGGCTGAGCCCCGAGCCAGCCCCGAGCCCAGGGGCGGAGGCTCTGCTATATGCTGTGCCTGAGTCTCGCAGGTGGTGGGGAGACTCGGCGCCCCACCCGTTCCCGGTGCAGAGCATCTGGCGCTGAGGCTAGGCTCAGGCTGCGGAGGGTGCTGAGCGAGCCGGCCTTGCTTCTACCCTGTTGGCGGGAGTGGGTAGGGGTACATTCTGAAGGGGTGTGTGTTGGCCGTGCCCACCGCTCTCACACGTGGCTCCCACCTCTTGACCCTACACATCCCCTTCCAGGGACTCACCCTACAGAGACACTTGTGCAGGTGTGAAAAGTCAGCACACTGACTTTTCCATGCAGGTGTATTCAAAATAGCACATGGTTAGTTAGGAGCAATTACATGCTCAGGCTGCAGTGGCTGGAACTGGGCCAGGCTGAAACCAGGAACCTGGAATGGCATCTGGGTCTCCCACATCGGTGGCAGCAGCCAAAGCACCTGGGGCAGCATCTGCAGCTTCCCCAGGCGCCTTAGCAGGGACCTGGGTTGGAAGCGGAGCAGCTGGGACCCAGCTGGCGCTAGTGTAGGATGCCAGCACCATAGGCGGTAGCTCAACCTGCAACGCTGGCTCCTTATTTAACTCTCTGATTTTTTTTTTAAGATTTATTTATTTTACTTGAAAGTCACAGTTACACAGAGAGAAGGAGAGGGAGAGAGAGACAGAGAGAGAGGTCATCCATCTGCTGGTTCACTCCCCAGATGGCCACAACAGCCAGAGCTGTGCCGATCTGGAGCCAGGAGCCAGGAGCTTCTTCCAGGTCTCCCACGTGGGTGCAGGGGCCCAAGGACTTGGACCATCTTCCACTGCTTTTCCAGGCCATAGCAGAGAGCTGGATCGGAAGTGGAGCAGCTGGGTCTCTAACTGGCGCCCACATGGGATGCCAGCACTGCAGGCGGCAGCTCTACCAGCTCGCCACAGCGCAGTCCTCGACTTCATTGCTTTTTATGGCCAAATAATGTTCCGTTGCTGGAGAGACCACCTTTTGTTTACTCACTGATCTGTTGACAGGCAATGGATTGTTTCCCACCTTTTAGCTAATATGAACAGTGTTGCCGTGAGCATTTGTGGATGACTTTGCATTTGAACACCTGTCTGAAATTCTTTATGGGATGCACCAGGTGTGGAATGGCCAGCATATAGCGGGGATTCTATGTCTAATTTAGGGAGGAGCCAAGCTGTTTTCTACAGTGGTTCTATCAGCCAGGGCTGGGCCAGTCCTGCATCCCCACCTGTAATGGAATGAGGATCCTAACTTCTCTCCATCTTCCTCCACGCTTGTTACTTTTCTTTCTTTTCTTTCTTTTTCTTTCTTTCTTTCTTTCTTTCTTTCTTTCTTTCTTTC